AGAGAACAAAAGTAGCAGTGACATGCTGTGAAATGATACTATAAAGCAGCTCACACAGAAAGCCCACTGTACTTTGTATTCATGCACAAAGCCTCCCCAAAATGAAGACAGTACTGTCTTAAAAACATGGATTGCTGCTTTCTAATCTGAATTTTTACTATGTACTTTAGATCTTAATCTCCGAGGGGGGGGGGAGGAGGGGGGAGGGAAACCCACTAAGCCGGGATCTTTTTATTATACTAAATCTAAAAATGACGAAAACATTACTAAATTAGTCATTAAATCTAAACAAGTGAACCTGTTTTGATAGTTCTTCACCTACGGAATGAAATCCCGATAAAAGTAAAAGAGACCTGCATTTTGCAATTGCTGAAAAGTAATTTGCTGTTGAAACCATCGTAAAGGAATGTGCACGAGCCGCTGTCAGCGACTCACCGGCACAGTGGGTATTTATACGCCCTCTCAAAGCTCTACCTAAGATGCACTTTTCAACATCACCAAGATACAGTTTAACGCTATGGTCAAGGCTTACAATTTTCCTGCTTTTCCTCATTCCAGATAGGAACAACACAACAAAAAACTAGTTGTATTGTATCTGGTGTAAAAAGTACCCACACAAGGAATTAAGTGGATTGCTCGCGACACCGACATTAACACCCGACATTATACAGTTGCGAGCGTGGCAAAACTTAACGCGAGCTAAAAATGGAACACATCCTCACCAGAACTCGCCGTCCTCCTCAAAGGTCAGGCCAACTTTCTCCCGGTCGGCTTTGCTGATCTTGTTCCATTCTTCCGAGCTGTGAGAAAGTTAAGAGAGAGTTGATTCACACTCACAAACATTCATCATTTTGGGGGTTTCTTTAGTTGGAAAGATGGAAGTTTATGAATGTTGTTTTGGAGAAAAGTCCTCAGTACAAGATAGGCCCATTCAATGAATCGAAGGGGACTGCATCAACTGATAAACACATTTCATTTTGTCACTGAAAGTAGTGAAAGCTCCCTCCCACTCCCATCTAAACCCCTCCCACTCAGTCGTCGCTGAACACTCCCTTCCACTCCCCCTGGCCCCACCCCCACCAACTCTAAGCCCCTCCCACTCACATCTAAACCCCTCCCACTCACCCGTCGCTGAACGCTCCCTTCCACTCCCCCTGGCCCCACCCCCACCACCTCTAAGCCCCTCCCACTCACACGTCGCTGAACGCTCCCTCCCACTCACATCTAAACCCCTCCCACTCACACGTCGCTGAACGCTACCTCCCACTCCCCCTGGCCCCTCCCACTCACCCTAACCCCCTCAATTAAACCCTCCCACTCCCCTAAGCTCCTCCTACTCCACCCTAAGCCCCTCCCACTCACCCATCTCTGAACGCTCCCTCCCACTCCTCCCTCTAAGCCCCTCCCACTCACACGTCGCTGAACGCTCCCTCCCATTCCCCCTGGCCCCTCCCACTCATCCTAACCCCCTTACTTAAACCCTCCCACTCCCCATAAGCTCCTCCCACTCCACCCTAAGCCCCTCCCACTCACCCATCGCTGAAGGCTCCCTTCTACTCCCCCTTTAAGCCCCTCCCACCCCACCCCCACTCATTTTATTGCTCTCTGCACTCTCCAACTGTCTCAGTGTCTCCTTCACAACGACAGGTATGTCCTCGGCTTTCGGTGGAAAGTGAGCCTTTCACACACGTAGCTAGCTACAGGACTGG